TCTCTCTCTCTCTCTCTCTCTCTCTCTCTCACTCTCACTCTCTCTCTCTCTCTCTCATTCTCTTGCTCTCTCTTCGTCGTTTTGCGCTTTGTCTCTCGTTATTATCAAGTTACGCGACTTGTTTTCTCGAAAAAGTCTTAATCGGTCGTTTCTTACACAAGTGTTTACCGAGTTATACAGCTTCGCACACGTATCTGGCATTTCGCTGTTTCTCATATCAAACGACCTGTTTTTTATTGTATCTCCTAGTATTTTTGTTGTTGGTCGAGTTTGGTCGAGTTACAATCTTCACGCGCAATCGCAAAGATCAAGGAATCGCGATACATGTGTGCTTGCGAGGTGAATGTGTGTATGTGACTATATATGTATATAATTGTGGATTAATTGGGAGAGAGAGAAAGCGGCAGGCCGACGAGTCTCGAAAGTCTCCGAAAATCACCGTTGATTCTTTGAATAAAATCTATCAGATATTCCAAGCATTCTAGCTACATAATGACGTCATTAAAAATGACGTATATTAAAAAGAAAAAAAATATTTTATAAAGAGCCTAGAATATCGCGTCTTGAATAATTAAGAAGAATCTTTAATAATTTCTTTCTTTTCTTGCAGTAGCGAGGATCAATCACTTATTTGTCTTTTCATTCCACGATCACCACGATTTCCTTATTGTTCGTTCATGTTTTCTGGGTTTTCTTTTTCAGGGAGGAAACATACAGGATAGTCCATATGCCTTTTCCCTACGCGACGAGAGATCTGTCGGAGGAGAATCCGACATCGGAGATGGGCTACGCCGGCGGTGCGATAAAACGTAAGGTCGATGGTATGAAAAGGGAACGGCACAGGGGGAAAGATGGTCGCAAAGATGTCGGTGAATGCAAGGGAAGGGCTGCTGCGAAAAAGCGACACCGCGGCAGGCACTGCAGATGCCGGCGTCGGCGTCTGGAGTGTCGTCGAACTGGCAAGGTGCTTCCATGAAATGTCTCACGACATAGCTTGTTGTATTCTTCATTGACACCTTGCTCGTTGCTTGCACCATATAATCGCCTGATTGTAGTGATTCAACTGAATCTGTCTCGGTACTTACGATCAGGGTTGGGAATATTACTTTTTAAAAGTAGAGTTTATTTAACGTTATTGATTTAACGTTATTGGGAAATAGTAATTCGTTACTATCATCGTCAAGCTTGTACCAGATTAAGTATTAGAGATGAAGGATCATATAGAAAAAATTAGTTAATTCGTCAAGTTCTGATCTAATCCACAAAGTTCTCAATTTCCAATACTCTGAAATGCTTTCCATGTTCTGATATGATTCTCCTCATTTGGAAAAATGATTTGTTTCCGTTACTATTAAGACCTAGTTCCACAACCTTCAATTAACTTAACTGGCTGGTTATTCCACTGGACTTGATCAATCGCATTTGATATTAAGAAGAGTTAATCAGAATTAACCAATCACAATTGGAATTTAACCGGCAGTTAAAATTAAACGGATGTTGTAGAACTTGGCTTAAGTCCATATTCAGACTAGGTATTGGAAATTGAGGATTGCAGATTAAAGATTAGAATTTGACGAATTAACTAATGTACTAAATTGTTGTTTCAGGATTGTTTAGAAAATTAGTTGAAAAGTCTGAAACTGAAAAACTAGTCATCAAATTCTAAACTTTAATCTGCAAACCTCAGTACCCAATATCTAGTCTGATACAGACTTTACTCATTTGAAAAAATAACTCGTTATAGTTATTATCGTTACTCAAAAAATAACGAGTTCTTTCAATTTGTAATTTTCTGTTTCACCAAGGTTCTAAGATCTCTTTTTTTGCAATTGGCTGTCGCCTATTCGATATGCATGTGTTCTGCATGTGTAAAGCAATAGTAAAAGTAACAATTAACGTTATTTAAGAAAATGTAATTGCCATTACAGTTACTGTAATCGTATTAAAAAATATCTGTGATGTTTGCATTACTGTTATCGTTATTAAAGCTAGAAACACATGATGAATTGTATGCTTTTCGACATGCATGCTGATCGGCAACTTAGTTCACTGCACAGATCTTCCACGACAGTGATTCATCCAGTGAACTGAACTGCCGGTCAGCACGCATGCAAGAAGACATAAGATCGTTCATCGTGCGATTTTAACTTCACGAAAAAATAACGCTATCACCAAGTCTGAAAAGAAGTAACTTATAACGATAACGACGTTATAAGAAACACGTTATTTCTCAGCCCTGTTTACGACATAATTTATAAACTCGCTGTTGAAGACATCGGACGCATGTGACCGCCGTGTAACGTTCGCCCAATGCTTCTTTTGGTAGCTTAAGAATATCTTTGGGGTAAACATCACATATTACACGCAATCAAGAAATTAACGTGGCCTTCAAGGTTGTAAAAACACGCTTGATACGACGTGTTTTTGTTTACAATGTCGCGCAGTGCCTTATACTTTCTCGTGTTCGTTATATTTCGCCAACCTATATATTTTTGCATCCATAAGTAATCACGAATAAATCGTATTTGAATTGCGTTGTTGTGGATGGTATTGATTGATCTAATCTTAAATTTACGATCGTCTTGCAATTTCGTCTCTCTTTTAAGATATTATTCAGCCGATGAAACGGCCATATATCTTATAAAGTTTCTCGCCATTACTTCCCATGGCTCTGTTGGATTGTGATGTCAAAAACGAAAAATAACATGTTGGAAATTCTTGCGTATTATTTTCGAATAAAAATTTATTTGAATGAAAGAATACTTCAGATTATTTGAGCATAAAGTTTGCAAAATGCTCCGAAAATTATCCTTTTTCCTTGATAGTCACTAAATAGCTATAAAAGTTACATAATAAAATCATGAGAAAAAAGATAGGTTAAGAAAAAACATTGCATTTCACTTTAATTTTACAGCTACTTATTGACTGTCAAAGAACAAGGATAGTTTTCGGAACATTTTACAAATATGTACAAGCAATCTGAAGTATTTTTTGTATAAATATTTTTTATTTGAAAATAGCATGCAAGAATTTTGATCACGCATTTTCTCGCTTGTATTATCATCAATCAAAAGTTCTGCGGTGAGAGACCATAATATCATTCTTTGGACGATCCAAAGTATAAAATAAGATTTAAATTAATGGTGTCAATTCCGAATAATCGGATACTGGTACTGGTATGGATTACAGAATTGAACATATGGAAAATCTGCAAATAACCAATCCTTTCGGGTATTACTTCACCTAAAAATATATGATCTCATTCTTAACGGAATGTTCTTATATATAGCCTCAAAAAGATTCTTTTAAAACTAACAGGAAAATATTTTTACATTTAAAGTAAGAGTTCTACTTGCAAGATGTTATTTCTTGTAAGTCCGGGTGTAGTAAGTCTTTAGCCTTATACTATAAGGCCTATAATTTATGGCAAAAAACGTTTTCCGCGCTACTTTAAGTTAAAATTTGTTCAGCTCGCTTAAAACTTAAGGATTATGACTTTAGGTAACAGTTGGAAAACGTTTTTAATCAAAAATTTTGATTAAAAACGTTTTTAATGAAAAATTTTGCACCACAATTTTGTGCTTAGAGCATAAAGTTAAAGGCTTATACAAATTGTATACAAATTGTACTTTAACTTTAAATTCTAATTGTAAAACCAGACTAATCCTATATTTTAAGCAAAAACATTCATTAAAAGAATATTTCTCTTCTAATAAAGTGGAATATTTCTCTTCTAATAAAGTGTATTAAACGGAAATCTACTAAATATTATTCTAACTTTTTTTCTTTTGAATCAAAAGAAATATGTTTACTTGAAGCAGAATGCTCTCTATATGATATGAATGACAAGACAAGCAAAACTTATACAGTAAATAAAAGATGAAATTCTTCTAACTTCAAGAATATTGTGCTTTGAATATTTTTCTTTTAGTTTTAGAAGAATTTTCCTGAGACTATATAAGAATATAAAATCTCTAGGATTTAAAGGATTCTGTAAAGTATGAGATTATTTATTTTTTAATAATATTATGTATAAAAATATTCAAGTAAGGTCAACAAAAAATATAAACTTTACAAAATACTTGTTTTTTATTAAAGTATGTCACAATAAAATGAAGTAAAAGAAAAAAATTAAATAAAAGAAATATAATGTAATATCTGGAAAAATACTTTTTATTTATGTTAACTTTAATGTTTTCGTTCACCTTAACATTTTTATACGCGAATTGCCGAGGAAAATATATTTTTATAAAGAAATATATAAATATATAAAATTATAAAATATATCATATTTATTTATATATAAATAAATAAATAAATATATACATTTTTTTATTAAAAATATTTTTTAAAACATATGATTCTATAAAAATATCTTTCTGATTCTGAATATCTGGATAGTATCGAGTATATATATCCGTAAGTTTGGATACGCAGATATTTCTATATGCGGATTACACTGACAAAACTACTATAAATACTGTCTAATATATTTAATCTCTAAAGGACATATGATACCATAGAGTATCATTTTTTTGTTCATAAGCTATCAATCAAGTTAAATTAAAATCCTTTCTATATAAGATTTTCGCGATCGTTGATCGCGAATTTCAGATTAGAATTTCAAAATTCAAAACGATGGATTCAATATAGTGGATCCATATTATAAATTTTTATATTTTTCAAGTCAATGTACAAAAGAATGAAGGTTACAGGTTTTTGAGATCGCTGATCACGAATCTAAGATCAAAACTATAAAATTAAAAATAGCAGATTCAATATGGCAATTGAAATCAATGGTTTTTATGTGTGATAGTTTTGATCTTACATATATATAATTTTGACTTTAATATTTATTTAATTAAATAATAATAATTCCGACGTTAGATTCTGACGTGATTAGGGATTTCAGAAACATATAAGTACACATGTTTTAATGTAAATTGTCTGAGGAATACCAAAAATCAATATTTTAAGCCGTCATGTTATACCGTTTTGAATTTTAAAATTTTGATTCAGATTTTTGATCAATGAATCTGAAAAACTTTCTTATATAAATTTTAAGAAAATTTTATCAAAAAACTTTCTCGTCCTTTAGACGTTAATTTCTCGCATGCATTCGGCTCTCAATCGCTACCGCAGCGTAGTCTCGTAACCATCGAATTCTTTTATACATATACTGTTTTGTATATACCTAATAAATGATTAACAACATTAACAGCAACCTCAAACAATCAAGTCATAACACGTGCATTTTTGTCATTGTAGGTTTCACGCGGCGACATTAAGCCTCTAGATAACAAATTCGTGATGTCATCGGCGGTGGACAAGCCTACGTCGTTTTCTACCGTGTTGTAATGCGTCGCTGAAAACAATGCAATTAATTAGCAATCGTTCATCCTCCGGGGGATCCAGATTAAGAGACGTCTCCGAGAAGCGACAACAAGGTTTTCTCTTTTTGAGACCACTCATCAGTCATGCGGCGACTGTGTTGTCGCTAACTGTGTGTCGATCGATCGTGGTCCTTTCTTGGATTTCGGATTTGGAAGAATCCCCGATTTTGAGGCAGTAGTGAGGATCAATCGTCTCGCGACATTGAAGATTTCGGGGAGAGATTCACGGCGATCTTCCGACGCCTCCCTCTATCTCTTCTCAAAGAACTATTTTATCGATGAAAGAAGAAAAATTATTAGTGAAGTTCTTTTGATGATGATTTTGTAAGGGGAGTTAGTTACGAACTATACATACGGACGCAAATCGCGACGGACTTGTGTGTCGTGGTCCGAATAACGGACGTACAATCGGATCGTGATCTCGTAGAGAAATACTTTTTGTAACAAGTGATTCCGGTGTAAGCGCGCTTTCAGATACGAGGAACAGCTCGGCTCGAATACCCGCCGGTGATCCTAGTTGTATTGCCGATTGATGATCTCATTAGTATTAAAAAAAGCAATTTACGTTGCACTCGTTAGATTTTAGGCGAGTTATACAATTGATATACATCGACGAACGCGTACTTTATGGTCCGCCAGTGGAATGGATGAGGTCCAAAATGCGGAATAAGTAGATTTTAGTGAGGAGCCATAGGAAATACAGGATTCGGCGTAGTCGTAGATAGAAGTTTTATCGCACAGCATGTAACGACGCCTTTTTTAATATACATTCTTGATTTTTACTTACCGGACATCTTTAAATTTTCTGTTGACAACTGGATGTTAATAATAGCGATCAATAAACATTTATACGAATTAATCAATATATTCTTTATTTCATGACGCCTTTTGTTTTATATCGTGCAAATAAAAGAAAAGAAGAGCAGAGAGAAAGAGAGAGAGAAATCGCTTAATAATCTCAGGTAGCACAAGAAAATGTCTTCTTGAAATTATCCTGAGTCAGGGTTGCTTGCGCGAATAATTAGTTATTTCTTAATTAATTATCGTTTAATTGACCACTAGTATAAACCAATCCAATTGGGGACCAATTAATTGACAATTAATTTCAACAAATTCAGTCGAAGGTCGTTCATGATTGATGATTGATTTCAACGAATTCAATTAAAGATCGTTTAATTTATAATTTATATGAGCGAAAGGAATCTCACGGATTGTTCGATTAACGATTCAACTTGGCAAATTTAATTAAAGACTGTTTAATTGACAAATGATACGAATTCAATTGAAATTGTTCGATGACAATTGATATGATTAAAATTCACAACCAGACATTACTTAATACAAAGTTGACGATTTGGGTACAGAAATTTGGCATATTAAGGATATCATCTGACTTTCCTATGATTTTGACTTTTTCATGATTATTGGTTCTCGAGTTACAAAATTTCGACATTGGTGTGCATTAATGTGTCATATACAATCAGTTTAACTCATCTCGATTTCACCCATTTGTTCGCAAAATTTGTGTTTCTTGTGGGAAAGATCTGTTAATGCCACTAGATCGAGTCAATCAAATTCAGCATGTTTTCAATTTCGCTACTTGAAGGTAATTACCAGATTATGACTACGACGATTATAACGAAATGGTTTACATCTATTGTTCATGTAAGCTCCATTGCTTTATACATTTTTTTCTATTCCGAGGACTCTTATTTTTGTAAGGCCCATATTAATAGTTGTTAGTTAAAATCCCTCTCAACTAAGATACTCAGATTTTAGTTCAGAGTTAGATGAAAATTTTTGAGTTGAATCGCTATTACAGATATATAATGTCACACATATCATATAATTCAACTGAAAAATTTTGATCTAACTCTGAATAAAAATCTGAATATCTCACATGGGACAAGTTTTAAGCGACAACTATTAATATGATCCTAAATGTGACACATATGTTGAATAATTCTTTGTTTTCAAAAGTAATTAATATTTCATAAAATACAAATATGTCGTATGGAAAAGTATTCAGTGGTGTGCGTTTGTGTGTCAGCAGCACGCGCGCGACAACGCGTTAGTGCGGGCCGAGATCGGCGCACCGCGTCAGTGTTGGGATTTTGTAACTTGAGGACAAATAGCTATGAGAAAGACAAAATCATTTTACTTTTTACATGGTGTTCCCAACCATGTTTGATTTTCTGCCAAATCACCAACTTTGCACTAAATGGTATCTAGTGTCAATCGAAAATCCTTCGATAACAATTATTAAGCCACTTTGAACGAAAGAAATTCTAGAGTGATATTACAGCGCACAGGAATGCTTTGAAAAAAAAAACATTTTTGCGGATTTTATCACCTGTCAAAAATCCTATGACCTAATTGAAGATGGGTCTTACTTCTTCTGAGGGAGAGAAAACAGTCTTGTTTTGTGCGCGTGCTCTTTTTACATCGGAAGCAACTCGCGGTTTTATGAATAATATTCATATCTAGGACATCGTGGAAGATGTCGATGATTGAGAAGCTCTAAGTAGAAGCTGCGTTGAGGAAGACACTGGTTGTATCAATCGTTATCGAATGGTTTTCGATTAAATCGATTAAATTTATTAATATCATAATATCGTGAATTGGCCTTTAATTGAATTCGTTTTGAAATCAATTGTCACTTAAATATTCGTCAATTGAATTTGCTCGAATTAATCGTCAATTAAATGGGAATATATATGTTTGAATATATTATTACATTAAGAAAGATTTAATTGTCATTTATATAACTCTGTCTTGAATGTGTTCAAGACGTCTTGAGATACTTCCTAAGATATTTTAGAAACATTAGGAATGATTGGCGATCTTGCGATATTTGAGAATTATCAGATAGAAGAACGAACATAGACTGATAGAGTAATATTGTTTTATATTTTTCTCCAGTAGTAATAATTGTTATAATTTTGTTAACCCTATCTCTAAGAATCTTAAACGTGAGGAAAATTTACCTAGACTAATTTTTTAAACATTACCGTTCTTAGAAACATTTGTTTCGTGTGTGTTTTATTATAACTTTTTTTCAACTTTATTGAATAGTAAAAATATTAATAATAATGTTTCTCGATATTTTCTACATCGATTAAAAAAGAGAAGGTTTGAATTTCATTTTTCCGGAAGTTATAAGCAAATGAAAATTTGCTGCATAAAATTTACTCATGTCTAGGGTTTACGCAACATTTTTATGATTTATGACGCAGATTTTTTAGATTTTAAAAGTTAAGAAATTTTGATTTTGAGTTATCGCAACTATTACTCCTTTAAACACTATTTTCGCTATTTGGTGAGTTAACACATTAGATATAAATGTAAATAATGTGATTTTAGATTTTATTTATGTTCATATTTTGAAAGATACTAATTATGAAGAAGAAAAAAGAAGAGAATATTACATACACATACACACATACGCAGACATAAACTTTTTTCATATAAATTATTTTTTATTTTTGTAACATGTATTGTGGTAATGCAATCAATTTTGTAAGAGTATAGACATATTTGAGTTCCATAAATATAAATAATACATATCAAAAAGCAGGACTATAAATTATGGAAGAATATCAATATGTGTTTTTTGATTACAAAATTCTATTAGTAATTTTTATTATAAAATTCTCTCTCTCTCTCTCTCTCTCTCTCTCTCTCGATATAGGTACATCTATTGATTATTATAGGGATTATGTTAAGGGTGATTAATGCATACTCCCTTTCCTTACAGTTTTATGGTTCAGGAGGTTAAAAGCAGGAGAATGATATTTTCTCGTATAGCATGGAGAAGTAGACGGCGTAGATGCGCTTATTTCTATGTGAAATTTGATACGTTTGTAACAGTCGGTCTAAAAGACCATAACGCGCCCACTAACGTTAGTCTTTTATTTCTGCCGCGTCAACGTCGCTCGATGTGCCGCCGAAAGTCTATTGTCTTTTCGACATCATAGTTGGATGGACGGTTCTCTCTTTTTTTGTTGAATCAATAAAATTCTCAATAGCACGTGTAATTGGTGTATATATTCTTGATTCAATAGCGATATTATTAAAACTAATACTTGAATTATTGAAACAATACATAATGTAATAGTTTTAATATTGCCATTAAATCAAGAAGATTTATTCTCTATTCCTAAATTTATCAAATAAATTTTTAAGTTTATTAAATCAATGTTTAAGTTAATCAAAGCAAAATGAGAGAAGCAAGAAATTCTTATTTTATTTTATTAAACTAATAGAATGTCATTTCTTTCTAATGCAATTAAAATAAAAATATTATGATTTTATTTCTAATATATTCACATATGTATAAGTTTATTATGTTTCCTAAACATATCAAATATAGAAATGGTAAAGAGAAAAAAAGAGGGAAAAAAGAAGAAATAATGACATAAAATTATTTCCTTCAATTGTTATATTTCTTTTAATAATTGAATTGGTAATTTATTAATTATTATTTAATTATTATACATATATGTGCTTAAATATATTCCGGTCGAAATGATCGATACGCGCCCACTCCCGGGTTAATTAAAATCTACTAAAGTATAAAGAGGTTTGTGTTAACTTGTTAAAATTTTGGAATTTGTACGCCCGGTTATAATATCTGATTCCTAAAATTAGTTGCAAAGATTAAGAATTGATGAGGTCCCATCGGAAAGAGGAGGGCGTATTAGATGGCGACAGGACGCCGTGCGTTCTGGGACCTGCGTCTTTTTCGTTCTGGAGAGAGAAAAATATCGAGAGCGGTTTGCTAGGCCGGGACTCTTTTGTCTCACCACTGATTAGCGAACCGCGCAACGTAGGCACGAAGCGAGCTAGCGGCGATATTATCGCAAAACTAGATCATCTTTCATTACTCTCGTCTTTCTCGTGCTGCGTTTTGCGTAATTTTGAAAGGAAAAAGTTTTGGAAACTGGACAATATAAAAACAATAAATAAATATATAAATATACAAGCAACAATAAATAAGCAACAATATACTAGCTTAAACATCCCGCTCATATTTTTTGCTTATTTCTCGATAACTACAAAAGATATCGATGTGATTCAAAGAAAACAAATTTCTCCACAATTTATCCTGTCGGAATTCAGAGTTTACAATAATACTGATAATACTAATACTATAATAATACTATTAATAACAGTTCGTTAAAAAAGCCGTGGAAGCATGCGTACTTTTTGACGTCGCTGACAGCCTTTTTACTACTGATTGCTTTTTCGCGCATTTCTCGGCAACTACTAAAGATATCAAGGTGACACGAAGAGTACTATTTGCAATTAGTACCCTATTTACTATTTACATCTTACTGGAATTGGTAGTTATAATAATATGAATAATATCGGAAACTCGAAACATTTCGGTTCGAATCCCGGCTTAATAGTTTAGCGGAAACTCGAAACACTTCGGTTCGAATCCCGGCTTAAGGGAATACTGGAGCAGACAACAAACTTACTAAGCGTCGATAAAGTAGATGAGATTAAAACGATTCAAAACGTAGAAAATGTTATCTTTACTTGCCGATGGATACATAAATGCCTTTACACTTTCGTTATCTAGAAAATTGGACTTTTTCGATCTGGCGCATCGTTTCTCAGTAAGCGTGAATCGTGACTGTTAGTTAGATGTCGGTTCTTTCAGTAACTAATAATCACGATTCACGCTTACTGAGAAACGATGCGTCAGATCGAAATTCAATTCTCTAGATACCGGAAGTGTAAAGGCATTTATGAATCCTAGTGTACTGATTTTATGTATATATAGATAGAATATATTGATATATAACAAGAGGTGCATCAAGAGATGATACATATTACGATTGTTACGATTTC